CTTGAAGGCTTGTTGAACGCTTGCCCTTTATTGAAGGCCAGCTTCTACGAAACACTTCGCTTGGATTCAGCCGACATGTCATTCCGAAAACTCACATCTGATCTGACCATCACAGAGTCCAACGAAGACGCTACAAATAGTGAACGGCCAAAGCCCCATACTTATAAACTCTACAAAGGCGAGAGTATTATACTCCATCATGGAGTACTCCAGAACGACTCTCGGTATTTCTCGAACCCCAGCCAGTTTGATCCACTGAGGTTTATCATAACCGACCCTGAAACCGGGAAAAAGAAGGCAGACATGCACACAATTCAACCATTTGGCGGAGGCATGTCTGGATGTAAGGGGCGGACATTTGCGGAAAAGCAGCTCTTGGCTTTCACTGCCGCAGTGATTGTCATGTGGGACATTGAACCAATGGATGGCAGTCGGTTTACAGTCCCAAGCCATAGACAGTCTAGCGGTGCTTATTTACCTAAGAAGGACATTAGAGTTCGTATAACTGCGCGTGTATGATAATAACGGTAATAGAGAAATACATTTGTGAAACGTCGACAGTCACGAAATGGGTACCGCCTTTGACCAGAGTTAAGCTCCATTCCATGTCTATGTATGTAGTGGCTTTGATGAGGGGAGGAAAACACTCTGCATCTCGCCCCGCCTATGGCTGATTTGCAAGGAGTGATGATGGCTCTTAATGCATTATGATTGACAGGTATTATGCGTTTGTGATGAGAAATTCCGGGTCTCAGTTACCATTGTAGTTCATAAGACCATGCTGACTGAGACCTAAGTTTTGCGTAAATTGCCGAGTTTATAGTGCAAAACATCCATATATAGACCAATGAGCACGAAACGACTGGCGTCAACAACCAAAGACACTGGGAAATACCCGAGATTTAAAAGAGCTCCGATACAAAGCACTATCAGGGAACTTGACCACTTTATTGTTAGTCGGTCGTGGAACCAATGCTCTCCCTATCAGAAGATTGACACCTGAAGGTGTATTTACCTGCACTTTCGTAGACATTGTCAACACATATTTTGGGGGTGATTTCAGCCATTTGAACATCCCACAGCTCACAGAAGCTGCTAAGCGTGTGTTCCAACTCGACGGTCTAGAAGTCTTACCTTCGGCCATCAGCGTGCACGAAACTTTATCGCACCTCACTAGTATGCTCCTGCGGGATTTGATAGGTATGGGCACCAATGAAATGATTTGTGTCCGAGCGCTTGAAGCGTGTAGATTGACTGGTGGTCTGTACCGTCATCTATCTTCTACTTACCGTGTTTGCTGCATTGCATCTATCTAGTAGTTTATCGATTTGTCACTAAATTTTACTGACAAATCTTTGGGCTGCGACAAGACTGTTACGGCTTAGTTAATGGGTTACATTTCTGGAAACAAGCTGGTCTTCCCAATTGTCACGGAGCTTATGAAATTCGCGTGTGCGAAGTATATCCGGTCATGTTGAAGTTGCGATGAATACTTTTGGGCCCTAACCCTATGCCCTATGCCCTTGGAAATTACTCATTTTGGTTATTGGACATCGCGCGCGTGGACGCGTTCTTGCGCGTCGGACAACACTCCGCTAGCCCAATCGTGATCGGCCAGTAACCTGCGTTGTTAAGATAAACTACGGGCTGTACTCAGTTTGACAGACGTGGCGGATTGACCTTTCTGAGTGTATTATGTTCAATTCCCGGTAAATCTATTTCCATACCTATCCTGTCGCCGCTTCTCTATCTCTACAATGGCCTCGGAAGCCATCCGCCCTAGGGGCAGACCAGCCCGTAAGTCTGCATATATCTTGACCCTAAGTATGGACAGCGTAGCTGATTTGGGAACAAACTTAGATACCCCTGGGACCACAGTATTGGCATACACCCCGAATGGCCGTCGCGTGATTACTGGTGGTTCTAACTCTGCGATTCGAATATACACTATCGGGCAAGATGGCGAACCAAAGACTGTCGATGAGGGTGTTGATGGACACATGGGAATCGGTGCTACAGTATGTTATGTAGGGTCTAGGATGAAGTTGGTAAGATGCTAAGGACTATTTCAGAATGAGTCATTCATCATGGGAGCGGAGGATGGTACTGTTTGGCAGTATGAGATTGAGTCTGGTCGAATGGAAAACTTGCTTGTTCGATGTGCCTTACCCGTGCGAGATATAGCGGTCTCGAATGATGGTGAATGGGTTGCAGTAGCAAGCGAGTTAGTACTCCGTGCGCAATAGCTCTAGGGGATCTAGATGACTGATTTGGTACAGTGAACTCACGGTGAAGATCGTCAAAATTGAGGATATGACGAAAGTTAAGTATCTTCGGGAACAAACTAAGGGAACGAAACATGTTACCTTTGACCCAAGCGGACGGTATATCGCAGTATCGTGTACAGACGGTATATTGTATATATATTCATTGCTCGCCGAGGAACCGGAACTCGTACAAAAACTTGATGGAGTTATTCGGAGGCTTGAGCCAGAGGACGAGGCGACATCGAGGGTGGTGTGGCATCCAGATGGGACGGCGTTTGCAGCTGCAGAAGCCACCAGGGATATTGCAATTTTCTCCACGAGCCAGTGGAAGAAGGAGAAAGTCTTCTCTGGCGGCCACAATGGTGAGGTTACAGCAATCGGCTGGTCCCCGAATGGCGCACTTCTGGCGACTGCTGGGGCAGATGGTCAAGTTCTGCTATGGGAAACTAAGACACAAAAGGTACTACAGAAGTACGATTTTTCGAACGTGATTAATCTGTCCTGGCACCCTTCTAATAACTCTTTATCGTTCACAACGTCGGATGGAGAGCTATTCATATATGATGGAATTGTATCAAGCGAATACCAGCCGTTGCTCCAGAAGCCGCTTCAGGCTGCACCTATCTTTCCAGGGTCTTTAGCTGAGATATCTGATAATGTGAGACGACCATTGGCGAACAGACCGAAGGCATCCATTGAGCAGCGAGCAGGTACTCCTGACTCTCTTGATGATATCCTTGGCTCCGACCATGGGATGGAGGACTTCGTCGATGATGATGATGGCGCCGGATACGCCGAAGGCGTTAATGCATTTGGCAAGCGGACAAATCAACATTTGGACGAGATCGATGGCCATGCTGAGAAGCGACTTTTGACCTCTTACTCTAAACCTAAAACGCACCCACCGCTTCAGCCTGGCAGTACACCCTGGCGAGGTAACAGACGATATCTCTGTATGCATCTCAAATATTCACGGTTGGCTCCTAATGACATACTAATTGACTCGGCTAGGCCTAAATCTGACGGGCTGTGTTTGGACCGTTGACCAAGAGACCCATAATACAATGACGGTGGAATTTTACGATCGAGAACTCCACCGTGACTTCCACTTCACCGATCCGTATCTCTACGATCGCGCGTGTCTCAGTAAGTCGAATGACCTCATGGTTCTGATGACTCCTTGCTCACTTGCCTAGATGACCACGGAACTCTCTTCTCCAACAACCCTACTGATGGCAGTCGTGCCACTATATTCTATCGTCCCCATGAAACATGGACTACGCGAGCGGACTGGCGGACACAACTACCCAAGGGAGAACTCGTCAGAGGTAGAAACCCAACTGGTCGCCCTTCATTTCGTTGCTGACTTGGTGACAGCGCTGGCGCTCAGTGATTCTTATATCGTCGTCACGACGACGAAAGATTATGTCCGCGTTTATACATTGTTCGGAACACCGTTCAAGGTGTACAGGCAGAAGAGCCCAGCGGTAACATGCGTCGCATGGAGGGACTATGTCATGACTATTGGGAACGGGCCCGTAGGAAGCGACGGCCGCACAGCAACATTGCGGTATTCTGTCGAAAATGTGAAAAGGGATGAAATATGTCAAAACGAGGATGTGGTAGCACTTCCTGAAGGCACAGAACTGCAGAGTGTTTTCTTCTCAGATACAGGAGTGAGTGGATCTCAAAGCAGAATTTCTCATTTAGTAGATACTAACTTTAGATTCAGGACCCATGTATTTACGATTCTGAGGGTGTCCTTCTCATTCTGCAGCACTGGCGTAACCATGGCCAAGCTCGCTGGGTTCCACTCCTTGATACCACGCAAATGGAGCGCCTTGTAAGCGGTCGCAAAGAGGAAACATATTGGCCTGTTGCAGTCGCACAGGACAAGTTTCATTGTATCATTCTGAAAGGAGGTGATAAATACCCATACTTCCCTCGCCCACTGCTCAGTGAATTCGACTTCCGGATTCCAATATCTGAGACACCAGGAAAAGCCGTCGGGGAACAAGAAGAAGGGCTTGCACAGAGTGATGGTGGGAAATTCGAAGAAGCCTTTATTCGCGGTAGCGTTATGCTTTCACTTTTTCAGGATCTTCTAGGATCTACAAATGCCACGTCGGCTCAGCGTGCCGAATTGGCTAGGAAAGAGCTCGAGTTGGATAAGATCCTCTTGCAGATGTTAGCAATTGAATGTCGAGAAGGAGAAGAGCGAGGCATGAAGGCTCTGGAGTTAGTCCGTATGATGAAAGACCGCAATGGCAAGATGGTTGAGGCCGCCGTCAAGGTCGCAGAGCGATATGGCCGGGGCGTGTTGGAGGATAAGATTCGGGAATTGGCGGAGAGAAGGTACATGGGGGAAGGTGACGACGATGAACTAGCGTGATAATCACTCTGTTATGCGTATGACGAGCTGAGTTGATATCATTTATCAATCTATTGATTTTTGGCGCGATACGTTCCAAGGCATGTAGAATCAGTTGGGCTGACCAGTTGGTGGATGTTCCGTGGGCCGCGACGTCATTTGTGGAGGGAAAAGAAATCCATCAATCTCGGCCTCTTTCTTAACCATCATGTATGTACCTTCAACAACACATGGCTTAGCGAAGGCTGCTGTCGTCTTGTGCAGCCTAGAATTCTCTTCTTATTTCTTCCTTTAACGTCCTTTAATATTATTTCAATGTGTCAGACCGAAAGCTTTACTCCGTGATGCTGAAACCAGTCCCTATGTCCGCAGCTCCATACATCTTCACCATCAGGAACGCGTGGAAAGGGCCAGGTTCTCGTCAACACCTCATCTCACCTGTCACACACCCTCTGGCTTACTCACATCATGGTATCTCGAACGAACCCTGGCGGACATCCTTGTCACCAACGCTTTTCTCGCAAACGCGGTTTCGACCGTCGGTGTCGGATGGGCTGAACGGAAACTCTACCAATGACTGTAAACCACCGGATGAGCGGATACTGAAACTGGGAAGAAGTGAGTTTTGTGCAAGCAATGTACGTCGCCACCTTATAATCCACATGCTGACCATGGCCGCAATCTCCGGCAGCGCTTCGAACCCTTTCTCCTCTCCTACCCACCCTCCTCATCAATCCGTTGCCTCCAAAGATACTATCTCCCAGCGTCACTCTTCACCTCTTTCCGTCGACCCACCCACATCTTCCCACTGTAAGAGGAAGGACCCTCTACCGTGCTGCTCTGTGGACCGTACCGGTGGCCTGGAGCAGCTTACCCTTGGTGGGAAATGTTAGGCTACAAGTACTAAGTGAGCGCATTGTTCGCGCAGGAACAGTCTTGGATCCGGAAAATTTTAGCGACAATGAGTGCGGAGATGAACGACTAGTTGTACGGTGGAAGACGGAACCTCGGGGCGAGGACCACCATTCTGAGACGTCGGCCGCCACTAGATCAACGGAAGCTAAAGACCACATCGCATCGCAGGGGAACGGCCATCTTTCGTCGTCCAAGAATGGAATCAATAGAGGGTTGAGTGTGTTGTTGGGTGGCGATGCCCCAATCTTTCCGCTATCCAAGGAGGAACAGTTTACCGGGCTCTTTATCTTCTCATTTGACGAGGAGGGACGCATTTCGTCACATACGATTGAACATGCTGATGACGCTACTGGCTGGGAAAGAACGGCCAAGTTCGTAACGTTGACCGACTGGTTAATCGGGAAAGCGAGAGGATCTCTAGAGCCTGCGACTGGGCCTGGTTTGATGATGCAGAGCTGTCAGGGTTATCGTTGGCATTCAACGGACAGATATTGCATACATCGCTGATCGTAGATGTGGCATTCCTATCTCTACCGGTTAGAGACTATGGCTGAAGACAAGCTCAGAACTATATGATACTAAGGGTGTCCACACCGACGATGCGACGCATCGAACTTAATGCTCACGGAGTTAACAGGGTTATCGGTATGAAAGTTCAAACATATTGTATCAACACACATATAAACCATTGGCTATGTGACGTGAATCTCGATGATGACATGGCTATCGAGCCTCTATCAACAGACACTCTCTACTTTACGATGTATTTTATACCTAGAAGCAACCGAAAAATTCCGCGTGAACTCTCACTTGTCTGTGTAAACCTAGTATGGTTTCATCTATGAAATGAATTCAATGCCAGAGCGGCTAATCCCGGCCACTGAGCCAGCAGTGAGCCGACCACTCAATCCATCAAGTCTATCGGTATACTGTACGAGTTTCTAACCAAAGCAACCACGTCATCGATGCGCATGTCTATATGCACCAGTAACAAGGCCAGTGACGACATTCAGATCTTATCATCATTTCTTCTTTAGAGCTGGAGGTGCAATAGGAGGCGACTTCAACGTCGTAAACACCCCCACGCAAACAGCAAGCATCAAGAACCCTCCAGTGGTATAGGCAATCTCGCGGCCAACCCACCAAAAGAGTGAACAGAAAAGTAAAGGCCCTGTTGCGCGGCCCACCTGTCCCCAGCTTCTCAGCCGGCCCAGCACAGCGCCACGCTCTCCTTCTGATGCTTCGAAGCTCCCCAGGCTGTTCAATCCGGTTACTACAGTAGCGCTAGTGATGGCTAGAAACCCACTGGCAGCGTATAGCCCGGGTAAGGAAGATACACGAGCAAGAAGGAAGAACGAAACAGTACAAGCTACCACACCGGCGCGGACAGTAACGAGCGGAGGCAAGCGTCGTACGACGGTACCCTGGAGCAAGGATGCAATGAGGCCCATCATGGATAAGAGACGGCCATTTAGCGCGGAAGGGCTTGTTTTGTGCCCGGCGTAGAATGTCGCAGTCAGAAAGGGAAGGGAAAATTCCAAGCCCGAGAAAGGAAGGAGAAAGAGGAAATGAATCAGATTGAGCATAGTGGGGTTGTTGATATGCACTCGCGGTGTTGGACGACTTGTTTTACTGCTCGCAGACTTGGTACTGTTGGACTGGGGCGTAGCTTGGGTGAGCTTGGTAAGACGGGGGTGCGTCTCCGGAAGGCAGAGGTACAGATAGAGCGTCTCAACGACGATTAGAAGAAGTGACACTCCCGCAGCTGTTGCAAACGGATTTGCAGCTACGGTCGTAATGTTGGACAGTGCCGCTCCCAACACTGGGCCGCAAGTAAATGCAATGCTAAAGCAAGCGCCCACTAGAGCCATGGTCGAGCCCCTCTGGCTGGCATCGCTGATATCAGTGGCTATAGCATTAGCCAGCTGCACATTGCCTTCACTAAGACCGCCAACAATGCGACTAGCAACAAAGGTGCGAAAGTCTGTGGCAGCTATCCAGAGCGCGACGCTAAGGGTATTGCCCGCCATAGAGCATAGAAGCGCCGTCCTGCGGCCATATTTGTCGGAGAGACACCCGATGAATGGGGCGGCAAGAGCCTGGAGAAAAGAGAAAAGCGAGCCCAGAGCGCCTCCTAGAAGGACGATGTCATAGCGGGAGTCGATTGGTATGGCAAAGGCGTTCTTGTAAGCGTTCAGGTAGTGAAATATCCTATTCAAGAGAGACTGAGGGGAAGGGTCTTCGTTGCGGTAGAACGTCAATAAGGAAGGAAATAGCGGTAGAATGAAAGTGAAGGATATCTGAGAGAGGATGGTTAGAAATAGCGCAGTCAGGTAGATGCGAATTGAGGGCCAGGTACCAAATCCAGAAGCAAAGATGTCATCAAGACCTTGAGGATCTTCTTCCGCTGATCAGCGGCTAGCGCCATAACGATTGATGGATGTGAATAAACGATAGAAAAGGGAAAGAATGAAAAGAAAGAACGAGAGGAGGAGGAAGAGGAAGAGGAAGAGAAAGAAGAAAAAGAAGAAGAGTCCAGTCTAGTCTAACATGAAGGTTTCTTGATCGCAGAAAAGCTAGGGGAAGATGGTTCAAAACCGATGATCTGATAATTTTAGTTGGTTCACTTAATGCCCTTCCCTTGACTTATGTAATCAGCAAATTAACTGCCAGTGGCTAACTAGTTAACTACATAACCAGGCTGCATGATTCGGCCAAGTACAAAGTATAGAATTACTTGTAATGATCCAGACAACTTGTACAGTGATATCTGCTGCTGGTCCCATTGACTAACTGCAATTTTACCATACTAAAACCTATGTCCAGCCACACTTCCGCTCACAAACTCTCTCGAGCTGTCAACAGCCAGTCTCCGTCCAATCACCACTACGTCCAACGGTCCAGCCATCATCCCCATGCGCCAACAAAATTAGAAAATAAAATACAGAAGAAGAGTGTTGGTTAGCTAAAAGTGCTGCTATGAGAGCCGCACTATCCACGAGAAGGAAGGGGGGAAAGAGAAGAGATTAAAGAGCAATATACCATGCACGCTCAAAGATGCAAGACATGTACAACCAGGAACTGACTTTTGGAGATGATCTTCCAAAAGAAGAGACTTAGAGCCAAGGAGGCTTGTAGAGACATTAGCCAATGTCTCTTCCCTCAGCCCTCCGACCCCTTGTTGTAAGCATTTCAGAAGATTCGTCGCTTTCGTGACCCGTAACACCACCATTACCCATAACCTATTAGATAGGAATAGCAAGACAGATAGAGAATGCAGAAGCCCACAATGGCCGCAGTGAGAAAAAAAAGAGACTTTCAGGGAGCCCAAGAAGCAGGGTCAGAGAAGTCTGGTGTATGGCAAAACAGAAAGCGTGGGAACTGGTGACAAGACTCTTGTAGAAAGCCTTATCCCGACCCAGGCGGTAGGTTCACTGACAACTCAAGCGCGTCATTTACTGAGCCCCAGTAGGAGGTGTGACAGTGTTGCCATTAGGTCCGCCACGTCCGCGGCCGCCACGACCTCTACCACGACCCCTGAAATCGCCACGTCCGCGTCCCCGAAACCCGTCACGTCCACGCCCGCCACGGCCACGGCCACGGGAGCTCGGTTGTCTCTGATGATGCACAACCGCTTCGAAACCGTCGCTACCTTGTGATTTAGGCACAGTGACATTCTCAGCACTATTATCCGTAGTCTCTTCTGCAGACACATTGTTGTCAGCAACTACAGGAGTAGCCTCAAGGCCAGTAGCAGTCTCGGCTGAATCACGTGGCACTTCAACCCAGCCATCGGTATTCGCCGAAGAGACAAGAGAATCGCCAGTCTTGGGATTCCAGCTAGCCTCGGCAACAGGGTTAGCGGCATCGCCAACGAGCGTTTGCGCTGGTGGAGTGACCTGCTCGGGCTGGGATACAGCATTGGTGGGCTCGTTCACGGCGGGGTTTCCGGTGCCATAAGAGGAATCCTGGAGCTCAGTGTAACCCGCATTGGCCAAAGTAGGATCCGATTCCGGGGCAGTATCCGCGGTTACTTCTTCAGTTGCAGGCGCGTGCTCTTCAGAAGTCTGTTTCACTTTGCTATCTAATCGACCAGAGTTGTTAGCAACAAGTAACTGGGTCGTTGGGGCTGCAGGCAGTTGCCTTACAGGTAATCTCCAGTGCCTCCCCTTCGACACTGACAACCTTTTCATCCACACCATCAATTAGCTTTAACATCGAATTGACGGCCTCGTGCGACCCTCCATAAACCTGGTATAAAACACCCTCAAAGGCACGAGTCAGGTTGGAGGTTTCATCGCCAGAGCGTCTCATGGTAGCAGCAGCACAGAGGAATTTGCTCAAGCTAAGCAGACGCTGTCTCAAATCAATCTGGCTCGCTTTATTGGCCTCAGAGACAGCTTTCTCCTGGATTGCTTCCAACTCCTCTTTATGCGCCTTCTCTAATTCGGCCTGCTGGGTGGCCAGGCGTTGCTCGTACTGGGCAGCAAACTCCTTGTAGTTGGCGATCTGCTCTTCAATCTGAGCGATAGTGGCTTGCAGACCAGGCTTCTTCAGTGCCTGCGCCTTTTGGTCGGCATTGATCTTCTTCTCGGCAACCAGGTCATCGAGGGATTTTCCGGAATTCTCGGCAATGATGGCATCGACTTTTGCGGTCGCATTCTGTACAAGGCAACGTGAGCGGTAAGGGACACATGAGGGTAGTATGGGGCTTGGTCACTGACCAGCTTCTTCACAGTATTGCGCAAGTTCCTATAAGCGTACTCTTAGCTCCATATCAAAGTGCGAATGCGCAAGTCTTCATTTGAATATGACAAACCTTTGCAGTTCTTTGAAGTACGGGCTGTCAATGCTGTCCACGCCGTTGGCGGTCGCTCCATCTAGTTTCGAACTAACCGAAGGAGTAGAAATATGGTTTTGCTTGAGCTTCTCCGAGGGTGACTCGGGCTGTGCTTGAGGGTTGCTGTTATTGACAGAAGCGGCAGCCATGATGCGGAAAGATGACGTCTCTGGTGGTTTTCCCTAGAAGAGAGTAGACGCAATAGAAATGATGTTGACGATTACAGAGATTTGATATAGGAAGAAAATAGAAGAGAGATTTCGAAAATTTCAATATAAGAAGGATAAAGGATGAATTAAAGAGGTGTTGGACGAAGAGCTAGAGAGCAAAGGTGTTCGAAGACGAAAAAGAAAGCTGGCGGTGCGAAAGATGCGGGTGGAACTCTTCCGAACCTCAGGCCGCTTCTGTCGCGTGCAGCTCAACAAAGCAACGCTCAGCCAGTAGGCACGCAGCTACCGAGTCAATGGCTGCAGCCTTAGGGCTGCATGTGCATCTGTTTAGGGATTACTTCTCTCTAAAGCCGATTGAACCAGGAAGAAGCGTGGGTGCCTGACATGAATTGGAATAGGTAGTCATAGAACAAGTACATTGGGGTATCATAGTATAAACTCCTAAGTAACGCCTCCACATCCCTCATTCTTGTCTGAACTTGATATAACAAAACAGGGGGAAGGCAAACTAAACGCCATAGTAGTACCTATTCCCATGCTCAACGCTAAACGATAGAACCACAGCCCTGGTATCATGTAGACTCTGCCTCCCATTGTTCTCCGTGAGGGAGTTCAGGGATATGTACAGTGCATAAAATGACATTGTATGATTAACCCTTGAACTTTCGTAGTGTCCTCTGGAGGAAGAGCATGATAGTGAGTAAAAAGAGCTACAAAAACCACAAACACAGGAACAGGTCAGGAACATACCTCGGTCACCTTTTGGATGGAATTTGGGCCAATATTTTTGTCACCAGCTTTGCGCGAACGAATTGATGCTTCGCGTACCAACCTAAAAAGGATCCTTCAGCATCAAATTCATAGTCGGATTCTTGCCAGTAATTGCCCATTATCTTTCAACTTGTAGCCCGTACATAGCAAGAGGACTAGTAAAGAACAATAATCACTCACTCTTGCATGAAAAGCATATAGTCCAAGAAGATCTATGATATAGTAAAAGCAGCAAGTTACTAACTATCACTGCCGCTTTTCTGGCTTGTCAGAGCACTTACCAGTATATCAGCATTCTTGCTCAGGTTGCGATTCGACTGAGCTTTAACAATACGCTTCACCGTTCCGCGCGGATAAAGCTTTTGCGTGGCGGCCATCGTCACCGGTAATGTCGAAGAGAGACTAAGTACGGAGTATACTTAGATGAAACAGGCGGCAATGAAGACGATGGTCTGTTGATGTTGGTGGATCACCATAGCAAACCTTTGATAAGCTTCGGCTTGGCGTGTTTATGTAACATGTTTTACCAATATATTGCATAGTTTTGAAACCATATACCCATGTAATTTACAGCGCACATAACACGTCAGTCGTTCTGTACTGTACCTAAAGTACCACAGTAGAGCATGGACTCAACTTCAATTACATAGTTGAGATCATATACAGATTCAGTATTATGTCTATACAATAACAATTAGCAATATACAATCATTTTCGCCGTCGGAATAGTTTCCATGCGTAAATCGCAGCTAAGGAACCTATGGCGGCTCGCCACGCCAAGAGAACCTGGATAGCAACTCTGAGTTTGGCATAATAGCCTTTAAGCATGATACCAACAGCATGTGTATCCCGCTCCAACTCTCTGGTCCTAGACGACCCATAGTACCCAACTCCTAGACCCTCGATGCCAACTTCATTAGGAAAGCAGTTCGCGTCCGCAGCATCGTTATCGCCGGTTACAGTCACAGCGGATGTTTGGCTGCCCACCGCGGTGTTGCTGGATTGCGATCCAGACTTGGCCCGGAGCTTGTTGCGCTTCCGTAGGCGATAAGTTAGGATGCTGGTAATTAATCGTAGATCGGGGGAGGTAAAAGTAGGGTACTCCCACAGCTGCACAGCTGTGTGAGGCGGGAGCATGTCTAAAAAGTCAGCTAGGATACCAAGAGTCAACCCCCATAGAAGAAGGGGCTGAGTTTGGTCCTCAGGATCAGCTCGGTCGCCCAAGAACCACGTCCTTAATCGTTGCATTATAGATGATCCTCGGCTATCTTTAGCGGCAACTTCAAGCGATGGATCGCACTGAAGGCTTTCAGTTGGTCTTAGCCGGACAGCAGAAAATTCCATGAGGCCCAAGATGTAGCGAGAAGTGAGACGGGTAATGAATCCAGACGTCTTCGCATAGCGCTGCGAAATATCGACATACTCCACCGTACGCTGGGAAGGAGAAAGGAGAGCCCTGAGAGGAACCCAGTGGGTTGATGCAACCTCAGTTGGCTGTAGTCGGAGGGTCGGGGAATCACTGCATGTTAGAAGGAAAACATAAGGGCAAAGAACCATCAAGCTTGGATCAACACCATCGTTAGCTGAGCTGAGAAAAACTACAGAAGAAAAAACGTACGGAACGGACGTCCAACCAGTAGATACAACACGTTCTGGTAAATTGCCAACATATATACACTCATCCGCCGTTAAGTCGAGTCCTACTTCCTCTGATGCTTCCCTAATAGCAGCAGCTTTGTCGTCCGCATCTTCTGGATCTCGCTTTCCTCCTGGTAGAGCAACATGACCAGTCCAGCGATCTCCCACACGGGACGCTCGCTTAATGAAGAGAGCCTCGGCATCACCTTTCTGAACCCAGTCCTGAGAGAAAAAAGTATTCAAGCGTTGCTTGACTGACAAAGTGTTGTTCTCTTGTGGAGAGGGAGACAAGTGCTGCGAATCGGGCCAGTGGTTATACGTAGGTCGAACTCGAAGGACGAGGGCCACGGAGGCACGTTTCTTGCATGATGGCGGATTGGGAACATGAGGATACGGATGGTCGTGGAGGTACAGCAGTACATCATGAAGGGAACTGGAGAGCGGAACTGCTTCCAACAACTCGGACTTCGGAGTCTCCATCGAGATAAAACATCCAGGTATATGAGACCACCTTTACCAACTGAGCAACGATATTTCAGCTAATAGGCAATGGAAACACAAGGGTTAAATTAGCAATTGAGGGTATTGGCAAAGTCGTTCGGGCCAGTATACTAGTGTTAGTAGGGAGGAGGCCAGAATTGTTGTCGGGAAATCCTTATCGGCACCTCGGGTCTATCAGTATCGGTATTGTGAGGTATCAGAATAATAAAACATGCCGTGGCGTATTTACGTTACATACTCCGTACACGGTTACCACCCAGCGGGTCCAAACGTCATCCATCGCTGTGACTGGTCGATTGATGAGTGTGACACCTTACCCAAAATGGAAGGAAAGCTTTGCACGTGCGTCCAGACGCCATTGCGATAGTATGGACCATATGGACTAGTATGCCCCGGGGGGTAGGAGAGGTACTAGTCGGACTAACACCTACATGACACTATAACTGCAGGGAATTTTGGTCCACTGAAATTTTTTTCTCATTCTTTGCCACAGCTTCGGATGGAGTGAGTGAGCAGTGATCCATCCTATATCTCATTTTCTCAGTTGTTGTCATCTTATCTATTCAATCGGATACCTTCTCTATCCCTTCGAACTTCATTACCGAGTACTCTTCCCCACCATACTCGCATCCACGAAACGCTGCAAAGCTGTGTCTTGACCACCATGCGCTTTGGTAAAACCCTTAAGAATTCAATTTATCCCCCATGGAGTGGGAAGTACATCGATTACCACAAGCTCAAGGTCCTCTTGAGGGAGCATGATGTCACCGGAGATGGCAGTGACTCGGACACTCAATGGACGGAACAGGATGAGGAAGCTTTTGTCCAGGAATTGATCAACGTTCAAGTGGACAAAGTCAACGCTTTTCAAGTGGAAACTTCTCAACAGTTGAGGGAACGTACTTCTGCCTGTGAAACCAAGCTGCGGCCACTGGCACCCTCTGACGAAAACGAGGCACCTACTGTACTCAACGAAAATGAGAGAAAGACTATCGCTTCCGAAGTCCTTCATGAATTAGATGGTATCACCAAAGAAGTGAGCGAGCTCGAGAAGTACAGTCGCATCAACTTCACTGGTTTCCTCAAAGCTGCAAAGAAGCATGATAGAAAACGAGGGGCACGGTATCGTGTCAAGCCTCTGCTTCAAGTCCGGCTATCGCAGTTGCCATTTAACTCGGAGGATTATTCGCCCCTCGTCCGCAGGTTGTCAGTGATGTATTCCTTTGTTCGTGAAATATCGAGTCAGGGTGTTGTTGAGCCCAGGGATGTGGAGGCGCCTCGGTTCGGCCAAGACTCATATTCGTCATTCAAGTTCTGGGTACATTCCGATAACATTTTAGAAGTGAAAACTTACATCCTTCGACGACTACCGGTCCTCATCTATAACCCTGGCACTTCTAAGGAATTGGAGACACTTCCAGACGACCCTACAATCACCTCCCTATACTTTGACACCCCACAATTCGATCTTTATACTCAAAAGGTCGCACGTGCACCAGAGGCTAGCTCTTTGAGGATTAGATGGACTGGAAATCTGAAAGATAAACCTGCCATTTACCTGGAAAAGAAGGTCGTGACCGATGATGATCGCAGTAAAGAGGTGAAGGTGCAGCTGAAGCAGAAGCACGTAAAAGAATTTCTCGACGGCGAGTATCGATTTGACAAGAAGCTCCACCGGCTGACCGACATGGGTAATGGAGAGTCGGAGCAGGCAGAATCTCTCAAGAGAGACGTGGATGAGTTGCAATCGTTCATAAAGGAGCACCAGGTGCAACCCATGCTGCGAGCCAACTATACTCGCACGGCTTTCCAAATTCCTGGCGATGATCGGATCCGCATCTCTCTCGACACGAATTTAGCACTAATTCGGGAGGACTCTTTGGATGAAGAGCGACCCTGCCGTGACCCGAATGAATGGCACCGTACTGATATCGACGATATCGGTATGGGATATCCCTTCAGTACCGTGCGAACAGGTGAAATCGCGCGGTTCCCATATGGTTTGCTGGAGATTAAGTTGAGGGGGGAGTCTGCACATAAGGCCGAATGGGTCAATGACCTGATGGTTTCACACCTTGTGAAGGAGGCTCCGCGGTTTTCTAAATTTGTCCACGGCGTCGCACAGCTTTTTGAAGACTATGTCAACAGCTTTCCTTTCTGGCTTGGTGAGATGGAAAATGACATCCGCCGGGACCCTGAAACTGCGTTCCAGCAAGAGCGAGAAAGAATTGCAAAACGGGCGGAGGATGACATGGCAGTTGGAAGCTTCCTTGGCAACAGGGCGAGCCCGTCTGTAAAGCCCTTGGTGGGATCCCCCATCTCCAGGTTACCGGACGTCGAAAGTTCCTCACATCCGAGGCCATCTCCACAGGTAGCACCGTCCTCCAGGCCATCTGCCCCAGAGGGCGTCTCTTATGAAGTACCTGAATCACCGGAGCAAGAGGACCGGCCTGTGACCCTGTCCCGTCTGGCTGCCTTGTTCCCAACGTTTTCTTTTTCACGCACAAATCGCGTGCAGCAGGCTTCGGTTACTTTGCCACCGGGTGTACGGGAGCCAGGTACATGGATCAAGGATTCTGGGCCCGTCAAGGTTGAAAGCAAAGTGTGGCTTGCCAACCAACGGACCTTCATAAAATGGCTTCACGTCAGCATCCTTCTTTCATCGCTCTCCCTGGGTCTTTATAACGCTGCGGGTAAAACCAATGACATAGCTCGCGCCCTCGCTATCGTCTATACGTGCTTTGCAATCTTTTCCGCTGCCTGGGGGTGGTACATGTATGAGAAGCGCTCTCGACTTATCCGCCAACGAAGCGGGCGAGATCTGGACAATACTTTTGGACCGATAGTTGTGTGTATCGGATTGGCTATAGCCCTTGTTTTGAACTTTGCTTTCAAGGTAGGCGGAACCCGTGAATGGCCATTTCAATTAGACTAAAAGCTAACTCGTGGTTCAGTATTCCTCCACCCTAGAGAAGCTCAGACAGGAGCAGCCTTCTCACACCGATATGCCTTCTTTGGTCAATCAAGGTGGACATGCACTCTGAAATCTACTATTATGGCTGAAGAAATTCCAATAATCAGCCTATCATCAATCAAAAAAAAAAAAAAAAAAAAAGCAAAGGACAATTTTCGGTACAGATAGCGGCAGCCTGGCTACTCAAATCTTAACAAGAACAGAAGTTTTTGTATATTTGATCTGCACCACGCCCGTTGTTGTGGAGTATTCAAACAACAAAAAGTTCAAGGATGAATGAATGACTAGTGATGCTATTCGAAGGTGTTATGGGCAACAAAAAGACCAGCAAGATGGAATAGTCAGCAATCTCACTGACCGTTCAGTACCTTTAAGCTACGAAACTGTATTACCAACTGGACGACGTCACATGGAAGTCTACGTACACTCATATTATCTTACTTTTTTTTCCAGGTGTATGTTAGTTATGTTTCTTTCCCCCAAATCCAATGTCTCGAAATAGCCAAGTTCCTCTCGTAGTTAGAAAGTTAGAATTGTCTAGAAATTCATGTAGGTCATTATGTGCCCAGGTATGTCTTTCTGAAGAATGCTGTTCAAATATGGGGAAGCAGGAGACCTAAGTTCACGTATATTTCCCACCTGTAGGTCCCTGAATTAGGCGGGTGCGCTCAGGGTCCCGATTCTGTATCTGACCCCGTAAACTGTCGGGTGGTAGGATGTCTTTTCTTTGTACAGGGGAACCGTAAAGCACGCTTGGGACGTAGCCGTCGAAATTGGTTCTAACTCAATGGTCAATGATCGAGTGGCGTGGAATAAAGTCCACGGTGGCAGCACATACCGGTCGAGGAACCCACAAAATAACCAAAGATAGATAGTCCCTAGGAAGGCAATAATCCATTCAAGGATCCCTGCCTTTCGATAGCTTGCGCTTTCCTCCGGTACAGTCAGAGAGATAAAGGCCACTCCGAGGAAGACTTCTGTAAGGATCAAGGCTGTTGAGAGGGAGGCACTAATTCCGGGAATCAGTCCTGCTTATGCTTATGAGAACGGAAGATGAGAGCGAGAGATGCGACAAGTAGCAGCAAACGAAGGGGCCAAGTTAAAGGGACAGGAACAAAGTACACGTACAAGACTCGAACTCGTAAACTTCTCCTCCCCCAATCGTGTTGCCATACACCGAGGTGGTAGACGTACGACACAAATCCGAGTACCTCGTTCGAATATACGATGGCCGTAGAGGCAGATTGTATCGCCAGACCGGCGAAACAGACCTGGAGGAAGAGGTGATGTGCGCTCTTATACCGAAAGGTATCCATGACCGCCAGTAAAATCAGGGCGATACTAGCCACGCCGGCCGCGAAGATGGCTAGCAGCGAGATAAGCTTTAAGGTTCTCGTAGTTTCATGGTCCTCTTCCTCCTCGCTGTCGGAATCCTGATAGCCACAGTCACTAAGATACGAACTGCTATGCCCAGGAAGATCATGGTCGCCATTGTCATTACGGTTGTCGGTTACAGGACATTTTACCAAGGCGAACCCCGGCTCATAGCGCACCACATGAACCGCAGCAACGGTGGTCACGAAACCCACGGCTGTAACAGAAGCGCCAACGAGAAAAAGTGGCTTCAGCTCGAAAGACGCTATGTCGGAGATGAAGCTATCTCCGCGTTAATACGCTATACGAAGGTCTAAGAGGCGGAAGCAGAAAGCTACGAACGCAACATGCTGGTTACTCTGTCCCGGGTATTGAGGCATACCATGGGCGAGCCATATTGACAGTAGGGACGCCAGAGTTAGAAACCAGACAGATCCCGCCAACGCCGGGAAGAGAACGAGTCGATTGGGGGGAATGTTGAGAATGAAGACATGAAGAAAAAACCAAGCTGAATCATGACAGCAAAGAAGGGGGTTTGTGCTCATTGAGACTTGGCACAGTTCGATGCTTATAGCTCTGCGGATGTTGATTGCATTGGAATCAATTTACAGGCAAGTGAGTAGAAAAGAACAACAAGTGATAGTAACAATTATACTCCCATTTCCTTATGACCCAAGTCAGTTGACGTGCTTACCTATTTCCTGATCCGTGACTAACGAGCAGAATCAGCAGTGGAAATCGATCGGGCGGATTTCATGGTTCGATCCTCTTTTTGGCTTGCTTGACTTCCCCGGATTCCCTTTTCATGATGTCATTCGGTAGATGCAAGATGACATCAGCGGTGGAAAACAGATCACGAAGTGCTGCTGCATCCTGGTACTTAATACTTAGTAGTAATCTACACAGTATACAGGTTATTGTTTGACCTATTGATGCCTGACTTGTGACTCTGAGTAAACACAAGTCTTTGTAAAGCAGCAACCTTCGCTCAGCAATTTCTACTTGCTGACAAATCAGATCTGATTATTAAACTAAGATAGATCACTAGTTAACTATGATGGTGGTAGTAGGTATATATATATTTATGTTTCTTTCATACTCATATCGTAGGAAAACCCCTACGACCTTTCTTTGATCTGATTTATGGTCTATCATAAACTGGGCCATTTGAATATACTACTACTACCACTACTACCACTACCATGACGAACTTTAACATCCAGATCATCTCGGACAGCGTTTGTCCAGTACGGCCCCCTTCTCTTCATTTGTTTCTTCATACACGACGTATATCTAACCTACCACTTAGTGGTGCTACGTAGGCTTGCGCCGTCTTTCCCGCGCCATCGCAACCCATAAATCTGCTCATCCCGCTGATACATTCACCCTCACCTGGCATGCCTACTACCTGGGACCCGACAGCCCGCCTTACCCGGGCAGAGACAAGAGAGAGTACTATATCAGCCGGTTCGGTGAAGACAGGTTCTCTCAGATCTCTAGCAAACTCGGCGAGGTTGGACGACAAGAAGGGATAGCTTTCAAATTCTCCGGCAGGATGGGGAATACACGGGATTCGCATCGGGTGATTTGGTATGCTGGGAAAAAGGAGAGGGAAGCTGGCGCTCCGGCGGCCACTGAACCGGGTGTAGTCGGTGGCTTGCAAACAAGGGTTGTCGAGAATCTTTTCAAGGCATACTTCGAGGAAGAGGGGAATATCACAGACCAGAAGATACTCTTGGAGGCTGCGGTTTTGGCCGGACTGGATCGCGGTGAAGTAGAGAGACTTTTGGCATCCGACGAGGGAGGGCAGCAGGTAGATTTGGAGGCAGCTCGGGCCCAGAGGCAATTGGTTTCTGGTGTGCCCTATTACACGATCCAAGGGCAGTATGCCATTGGGGGGGCCGAGGATCCCTCGGCATTTTTGCAGGCTTTTGAGCAGGTGAAGCAGAACTCTTAGGCTAGAGGACCAGGGGATAGTTGGGGAAGTGCAATGGATAAAGATTATTGTTCAGTCATGCCCGATTCATGAGAAAGCCATTGATTGCATACCATCTAGGAATCGTGTGCCAAACGGAACTAGAAGCAGACACGGGCGTAGAGGGCCGGTAGACCATGGTACCGCTCTCTGTCATTACATCTTTCTAAAGTCACCCAGGATCCGTGTTCTGCATAAACACTCCGTGGGAAATAACTTGACCTCAACGCCAACGCCATGCCATGCAAGCAGATGAAATCTCCAGAAGCCACAAGAAAACGAGTGAGGGATCCAGCCATAGTGGATACACTCCTCGGAGCGAAGTACAACAAAGACAACCAGAAGATAAACAGAAAGAGGAAACAATTCTTTCCTACCTAACATTACATATGTTGGGTACATAACAGGCTGCACGTATCAACGCCAGAGTAACCATAACACCAGCAGCGAATGTCACCTGATTAAGAATTTCACAAAGCGCACAATGACGGCCAGCGAACTGTAACACCATAGTCATAGCCAAAGTCAAATATTCATTTCATAAGCAAGTCATAACAATGCCAGGACACGGCGGGGATCGGTGCAAGCTTCTAAAGATGGAGAGCAGATCTCGTCTCTATCCATAACGGAAGTCATCGTACGATTAATTGGCGCTGGCTTGGCGTAGTTCAAAATTGGGAATATAATCGAACCAGTCGGTATTGGGATTGTAGCGGTATGCTTTGAACTCAACCCCGTATGGCTTGGGCTCAAGCATATACAACATCCCCAAAGGCACATCTAGGTCCGTCACCTCGTCGCATTTCAGGCCCTTGAAGTAGGCTAGAAGGACGCGTGCTACGGCTCGGTGAGTGACCAACAAAACATGATCGGTCATTCGCTCCACCTCGACAATCACTGCTCTAAGTCGGTTGATAACATCTAGGTACCCTTCCCCGCCGGGTCCTGGATACCTGTAGTACAGCTTGTCGCGTTTGCGAGTCGCGTATTCGTCGGGAAACGCTTCGCGAATTTCATCATATGTCATGCCCTCCATCTTTCCCGCATGAAGCTCGTCGAGCATCTTCATTTGCTTGACATCATATTCATCCTCGTTGAAACACTCGACCGTCGAAACCGCACGCTGCATCATGGAGGACCAAACACAGAAATTGCGTGGCCGGTCACTGGGAATGTACGAAGGGTTGGGCGGAGTGCTATCACCCGGACGGGGCGGAAACTTCTGCATTATCTCTTTCTGTCTCTGGTTCATTTCCCACTCATTTCGTTGGTGATCGATGAACCGAGCAAGTGCTTTGCCATAGCGATAGCCGTTCTCACTGAGTTCTGAGTCACCGCCGATTCGGCCTGCCTGGTTGTCCTTACTCTCGCCGTGCCTGGTAATCCATATTTGCCGCGGTGAAAGGTTGAAGTTCAACAGGTAGTAGACAACTTGGGATGAGAGAAAACCGTGAGTCTGATGCGACACAACCTTGCGACCCACGTCGATCATTCGGATATAAGCCATATTATGCTTTTCTTCGTATTCACCAAGAGGCACGTAGGATTTCTCGTATAGCTGAACACGTTTCTTGAAATCCTCCAATGCTTTCACTGGGTCCTGGCCCTTATAGTCCGGACCTGACAATTTCAAGCGCATGTTGGCCTCCAGCAGCTCTGGATCAACACAGCTGCTCTCGAGGAATAAGATACCGAGCTCAGGACCAGCACGCTTGCGAATATGATCTACAACTGCTTTGCGGCGCTCCATCGTACTGTTAGTTGCGTCAAGGATGCCAACACTGCCACCTCTGTCGAGGATATAGTCCAACAATTCGTCTAAGGTGTCCAGGGCTACCTGCTCTCTAAGCTTCACGGCCAGCTGATTTTGGGGGTCGAAAAAGCTTGCAGACTGGTCAAGCGGCTCAGGGGACGCTTCTTGCATAGAGAATTTGTCTTCTGGTGACGCATTGAATGGTGGCACAATAGTGATTCCATTTTGCCCCAGAGATGGATCTTCCTCCTTACCGTTAACGAGGATCTTTGTGGGGACAACGGGCGGCGGAAGTGAGTTTTCGAGTTCGGGAGGGGAAGCTGTAGGCTCATGGGCCTCAGGAGGCGATAATATGACCTCGGAAGGGACCGTAGTCTTCCGGAGATGGTTCACCGCACCAACGCTGACGCTCAAACGTCGTACCGAGTCGACAAGATCTTTCTGGATCGAACTTGTTCTATGGTTCCTATGCCTTCCAGGAGGTGAGGACGACTTGCCAGCGGCAACGCGACGACGTTCTCCTACATTGAAAATCTCGGTGTCATGCTGTAGCCAGTTTAAGTAGCGAGCCAACTTCTTGGTCACGTAGCTTTTCCCTCGCGCTGGGAGGCCGACCATTACAATGACTAGCTTGGACCCAACATCGCGTTGAGCAATCCGGCCATCAGGCGACACCTTGGATTTGGTGAGACCTGGAATATCAAGTGTGGTGGCACGAACCCGACCAGGTGTGGAGGCGGTCGTAGTTGGTGTGTTAGCATTGCTGACGAGGACATTAGTCTCAAGATACTCAAGCCGAAGGAACACCAAATCTTAAAAAAACCAAAAGACTAGTAAGGCATCAAACAACAAGAAGCACTGAAACAGACACAAGATCGACATACACAGCGACATTCGACGTGAACCGCCTGGCCGATATGGCCCGGAGGAACAACTGCCGATCAAAAGTGAGGGAAATCTAAGGGCAATCTAAAATGCCCCGCGTTTGTGACTCAAAGGCTAGACAATAATAGACAACCAACGAGCGAGCGAAAAAGAGAAAGGGAACATACAATTGTGGAGACGAAGGTGCGGTAGAAACCGGAGTGTCAGTTAGGGCGAACCCGACACCATCCTTGGATGCCTGTGAGCCTCTGTGGGCATCGGAATGCAGGTCATTTCCTAGCGCTCTTCCGACCAGCGTCTTTGCCGGAGGCATAAGAGTCGCATCTTTCCCGATTCCGGGCCTAGAACTTCCATTTAACGAGACTCCGTCGGGACTATCTGTTATACGGGTTTTCGGAGAATCGGGCGTTGACGCGCTTGTCATGATCGCTGAGCGTGCAATATTGGTGTGTTGTTGAGACATCCCCGCCAGTGGCGCAGGGGATGCAGCCAATTTTTGAGCAATAGGTTGGAGTTATCGCGATCGGGAACAGTTGTGGTAAGTCCGGGTCTTCACCCTCAGGGTACAGGTTGAAGTCCAAGACAGATGTAAATGATTCTTTGAATCAACCAATCTCCTGTTTAGAATTGGAGAGAAGTTCGAGGGTGAGGGGCGTCGACGGTTGAAAAAAAAAATTAGGAGCGGAGCTGCCGGTGGGCGGATGAGTCAAGAGCAGCACTAAACGTCACTGTTTGGCTTCAAACTCAACACCTTTGTTGGTGACCAAAGAAAAGCCGCCCCAAAGGAGGAGGGGAAAAGGAGAGAAAAAGAAAAAGAAACCAACCTGGGCCAAGAAACCAGAGTACTGGTTTAAGAGATAACAAAAGAATTCAGAAATGGCTATGACCTTTTCTTTTTCCACTTTTACCTACGCCGCTCAATCAGCAATCTAGGAGACAAAGAGACGGTTATAGATCAGTATACTGTAAGACTCTTTATTTAATCAATGAATAATATGGAAGAGAAAAATTGTAATAACATGAAGTGAATAAGGGAGCTACCTTAGGGGCAGACAGTTCAATCAACATATATATGATTCCAGCTTACAATCTATGAAGTCACTGGTGGGTTGTCAGGACGGACATACAAAGTGGTGGATCTCCGACGTGTTGATCTATGGAAACATGATGTCAGGAAGTTGTCCACCATGTAAATGTAACGGCCACGCTGGTTATAAGTAATCATTTTCCCTCCCGACATGGCCGAGATAAATATTCCCCCCTTCCCTTCCACTTTCTTGCCAGTAAGGTGGTTAGATCTTCACCTACCGCGTACATGAAATAAAAGTCAATTTATCTTGGCTCCAATGGTTCATGGAAACACGGAAAAACCGAAATGCTTGGCCTAGGCAAGGGTATAAAAGGGACTTTACTACACAGTACCATCAACATGAAGAGAAGGATCGGCCCACTAATCGTGCTGATCCACTTTGGATCAACTGATTCGCACTGTGTCTGAACCTCTGTAGTGGGCCAGAAACATAGAGGAGCCTCTATCACCTTGTTTAAATAGTACTGTAGGGCGCAACCGTGGTCTTTGCCAGCACCTCTTAACACTTTCCTGCGTGAAGCTCCTTCGGTCAATGTGTCTCTCCTTGCAGCTGACTGTCGAAGCCGCCAAATCCACCATGACCAACGTTGCATGTCAATATGGATTATCATAGCAACCTAAGCATATAGAACGTCTTGTGTCTTGTGTTACATTGTTGAAGGTATCCGCTGGGCTGCTCTCTGTGATATACACAGCCTCTGTCGCATATAAGCTTGGCACTTGGCATCGTCGCTATCAGCAGAGCGGTCTGATGATTTCCGCAAGGCTTGTTCCTCTTCACCTTGGAAATTCACACAGTAGCGGATACTAATCAAACAAAGGGGTAGAAGGACAACTGCATTCCGCGGGATTCTTGGCGCTTGGCAGTTACGCAGGTTGTCATCACATTGCCCAAGATACGGAATATAATGAACCTGTTGGGCTTTTATCACTCCTTTGAGCCTTTGATACCCCGCCTACTTATCCAGCCTGAGAGTGAGAGCAATCAGTGTAGCGTATGCGGCAACACTCAGAGCCGTCAGTACGACCACCGCATTTCCGCTCGTTCGAAATTTGTGTCGGTGGATGCCATCCTCCCCCACCTCCGAGAAAAATTGCCTATTCCCTTGTTGGCGGCGGAAGAGACCAATAATGAGCACACCGGTGCCGTAGATAGCGAAAAGTGCCCCTGTACTGTAGAACTCGCTAGTGAAAATCTTGAGCACAACGAGGGCAAACGAAAATTGTGATAATGCTGTCCGGACATAGGCTCCCTCAAATGTTCGCTGAGCTGCCCGCACTTCAACGATCTCATCGGTTGTTAGCGCAACCGTGCGAGCCCGGTGCATCCGTAGGCGATATCGATCAGCAGCACGACGCTGATACTAGTCAGACCGGAGTATATTTGAAAATAAATAAATAAATAAAGTATAAAAAAACGGTGCAACACAGAATATAATGGGCAACATGGAAGTAAAAGAAAGAGCACCGTAACTCAAGTCAGCAGACGCACCTCGAACATCGCGACGCACTATTGATGGAAGCTTAGTGTTCTTAACGACTCGATCTAAGATGGCGATGCCATGTAACTAGCTAGGAGGATCCTTTGGGGAGACACGTTGAGTCCGCCTCGAGTAGTTAAGGTTGAAGCTTTTGCTCCAAGAACCTGATGGAAGTTGGCTTCCGAAAGAGAAGGATTTTGCGCGGGGAGGAGACATCAAATAAAGCTATACCTAGAGTAGATGCACGTGCGGGGAGCAGCTGATCAATTGAAGTGATAAGGGAAGGACCCAACTACTAGGACTACTACTACTACTACTACTACTAATGGTATGTTGCGTTGTACCTCTACAGATAGAACCTGAATATCGGTATTCCCAAATATACTCTTTCGCGAGTGACAATATATGTTGTTTTCACCAGAACGCAAGATAGAACGTCATAACTCGTTGGAACTCCGAAACCATTTATCCACCAATAATCGTGCGATGTTCTCTAATCCGCAAGAAATAGCGGGCCCGTCCCAAGGTCGGCTATCAAGTTTACCAAATGTAGCAATCTCAATGGCCGCAGTCCATAGTGGTCGTCCACTCCTCCCCTCTTACTACTGGGTCTTGCTTCCCCACACAGCTCCTGGTCGGAGTCAAGTCCGAGAAGCCTATTTATGCACGCTCGGTCGTTGAATGGGGTTGACAACGAGTAGTCTGTTGCTGAAGTCTAGGTCGGCCGGGTACATGACTTAGGAGTCCCGTTACTGAAGGGCATCCTTTCTTCTTCCTACCCCTGTCGCTACTCTTCCTCTCGTACATCTCTTTATCCAGCCCTTACCACATCTCCATTTCACGAACTAATTTTGAAGACACAATCGTGCTTGGTTCCGCGAAATGGCCAAAGTGTTCGATGCGGCGGAAGGTATATTGTTTCTCCTCTACTCCGGCCTGAATTATTGCCAGCCTGATGTGCTAATTGGCAACCAATCGTTCAGTCGCGAAACATAATACTCCAGACAGTTGCTGGGTGGTTTTATATGGGAAAGTGTACGATGTACGACTCTATCCAAGAATTAAAGCTTCATTTTTCACATGTTACACCTCAAACTAATCCATTATAAAATATTGTCATAGGTCACCGACTTCCTCTCCGAGCACCCCGGTGGTTCCAAAATCATTCTGAAGCTCGCTGGAAAGGATGCCACCGAAGAATACGACCCCATCCACCCCCCGGGCATACTAGAAGAAAACCTGAAGCCAGAAGCGATGCTTGGAACTGTCAACCCAGATACACTTCCAAAGGTGCAGGCAGAGCCAGTACCCTCGTCAAGCGAGGAGAATGAGGGTCCACCCCCAATGGAGTCTCTCCTCAACATGGATGACATCGAACAGGTGGCTACCAAGAACGTGAGCAAGAAGGCGTGGGCCTACTACTATTCTGCCTCTGATGACAAAATCTCCAAACATTTCAACACCGAAGTTTACCGCTCAATTCTCTTGCGGCCACGGGTTTTCATTGATTGCACACAATGTGACCTGGATACTACGCTGCTGGGGCATAAGCTAGGAATGCCAATTTATGTGTCCCCTGCCGCGATGGCTCGATTGGGTCATCCGGCTGGTGAGGCAGGTATCGCCGAAGCTTGCCGCAGCTTTGGAGCCATGCAGGTTATCTCAAACAACGCATCTATGACCCCGGAGCAAATTGTAAAAGATGCAGCCCCCGACCAAGTGTTTGGATGGCAGATCTATGTTCAAATTGATCGCAAGAAGAGCGAAGCGATGCTGGCACGGATAAACAAACTCAAGCAAATCAAATTCATTGTTCTGACTCTGGATGCCCCAGTGCCAGGCAAACGAGAAGATGACGAGCGGGGAAATGCTGTCGGAGCATCAGCGCCAGTTCCAAGCGCGGCGAAGGTGGCCGATAGTGCTGAAGATGAAACTTCTCGGATCAATCAATCATCTGGCGGTGTTGGAAAGCAGCTCTTCGCTGGAACAGATCCCTCACTGACCTGGAAAGAAACTTTGCCTTGGTTGGCTGAACGTACTAACTTGCCAATTGTCCTAAAGGGCCTGCAAACTCATGAGGACGCCTATATTGCCTCTCTCCATACACCTCAAGTCAAAGGCATTATTCTTTCGAATCATGGTGGTCGTGCGCTCGACACTGCTCCCCCAGCAGTGCATACGTTGATGGAAATCAGAAAATATTGCCCGGAAGTATTCGATAGATTGGACGTTTGGGTCGACGGCGGCATCCGGCGCGGTACAGATGTTGTGAAAGCGCTATGCTTGGGCGCGAAGGCCGTGGGAATCGGGCGACCTGCTCTGTGGGGCCTGGGGGCTGGCGGTGTCGAGGGCGTTAAACGAACTCTGCAGAGTATGTTTCGGAACCCTGATAATCGAGAAACAAACGACTGACTGAGGCTTAGTACTGGCGGACGAGACCAAGACATGCATGCGATTACTTGGTGTAGATTCTGTGGATAAGCTGGGCCCCCAACATGTAAGACTCCTTCGTTACTGTCTCAATGACAGCGAGGTTCCCCATCCAAGATACTCCGATGCTTACACTATATAGATCAACACCCGTCTTCTTGAGCAACAGATTTATAATGGTCCATCAGGCCTCGAATCCATACGGAGCGTTTTCCGAGCGAAATTATAGACGATATGGACACTGCTGTATGAGTAGCCCGCTTTTATTGGAGAAGTCGCTTGTTTGTACAGGTCTACAGCATATATCATACACTTTAAATCATACAGAACATGTTCAAAAAGAAACTATTCGACTCTTGGCTTTGCATGGTCTGAGCAAAACGAAAAAACTGGAGAACAGTGCCCGGTAATGCATATACATGAATAGCGTAACTGTAGACGATTGAAGGCACACTTCGCCTGTGGAGCGATCAAAATGTCAAATCACTCTGTTCGAATATTCCATCTCCTTCGATCTCTAAGGTGTTCCATATGTGACTCAAACTTATAGTTCAGGGACCAGCTATTCTTCCTCTTCTCCATCCTATCACTAATTAGTATTTTCAAACTTATGTCTTCCCTCTCCAACTAGTCCGTGAAGAATATATACACATCCAAGCTGCCACTGTCGGAACAATATAGCCGAGATTGCCGCCAGCTTCCTCAATAGAGAACCGGCAATTCTTTCATCGATCACGTTGTGCATAGCAGACATTGATTTAAGCCTCTTACTTACAGATGAATAACACGACTGCCGACAAACTGTCCCACACTGGGGCACTGGATCATCTAGCAACAAAGTCTCATGACTGCTGCTCAAGGTAATTCTGATCGAAGCATCGGGGCTCGCATATATCCCAAGCATTGCAAGGGTGTTATATCATTCCATGTTTAGCTTGGTATCTAAGATCTTTCCACGCCTTTTGACGCGTCAAACGGGCCCTGGGTTACGGCGTTGCTGTCCCCGGCTGAACGACCTGCATGTCTCTCCATTCGCGAGTCTGCTCGATATAATGGGTCAATTTAGGCCTTGACCTGGTAGTGGCCACTATTTTGGATTGAAATCGACTGTTCACGGATCGGGAACCGGATACTAACCCAGCGGGCAAATATGTAGTAATTACCATGCTGTGAGATAATTTGACTGACATATACCTCCTACAGCTAAGTTGTAGGTCAAGAACTGTATCTCCATAGTGTTCCTATTTGTACTACCAGCAGGATATAGCAAACTATAGAGTTTTTCTACTTCTTGAACAAACACTCCCACACCAATCCTTTGAACCAACTCTTATCTTTCTCCCAGGCTTTGACGATCAGATCCTTCCCAAGCCTCACAACATCAGCAATCTGCTCGTCTGTTCCCCATCCAGGGACCGTACTGCCGAAGAAGATCAAATGGGTCCCTACGTGGATTAACGTCCGGAACGCCATTTCGTCACTCAAAGCAGGATACCCTTCTGTGATGCCCTGAATGATCCACACTCCAGCATCGATATCTTTGTAGTGCTTAAGCTCGTACAACTCGGCCATCATTTGGCCCAGATCAAGAGCCCGAGTACCGCACTGAGCGAGTTCCCAGTCGATGATGAATAGGGGAGTGTTAGAGTGCTTTGTGTCCAGTGAATTTTTCGGAAGTATGATACTGATATCATTAGTAAACCCACTTTTCCTGTTTAACCTGGTGGGATAAAATAAGTAGAAAGAGAGCAAGACACAGTGGCACTTACTTCCCCGACCAGAAATCCCCATGAATCACTCCGAACCCCTCTCCATCTTTCCTACCCGACTCACTCTTCGCCATATCCCTGACCTTCTCGAAAACGCCTCGGCTGCCCTCCAGGATTTCAGGGTACTTGCTGACCATGCTTACCAAACTATCATAGTTTATGCTGAACTTCAAATCCCGGAAGAAGTGGTTTTGCTCTAACTCCAGGGCCACATCAGTCTGCGCCGGCTCCTTGGCCCAAGAATGAAAAGAACTCAGCCAGTGCCCCAATGCCCGACCAAGAGACACCGCCCATTCACGGGGTACAGATCGAGCCGAGCTGGGCGAGACGAAAAAAGATTTTAGATCTACGGAATCAGGAAGATCCTCCATAACTTGGGTGTTGGTGAGCGGATTGAATGAGTACATATGGGGTGTTTTTGCCGTGAATTGACTGGTTGTGTCTTCATCGTTCGTGATTTTCGAGCTGGGGAGCTTATCAAGTGATATCAAAATGGATTTTTCGATGAGCTAGATGTTAGAGTATCAGCCAGGGTTGTCCGTCTCATTTCGCATAATCGGGTAGTAAGGCAGGGACAGTTACACAGCGTTCGGCAGATAATTTAAATTCGCGATTTGACGCCACATAGTCCTCTGTATGCTTGACGACGACTGTTGTGGTTCCATCTGGAAGCGGCTGAAGCAGAGTGCCACGAAAGACAAAGTTGGCGGTCCCGCCGCTTAATTGCTCAACAGATGAGCATGCATATGGAGTCGTGGAAAGCTCCGATAGTATTGTATCTGGTGAGATTTCGCTGTCGGTCATGATGGCGTATATCCAAACAGACAAAAGAATGAGGACGTCTTCAATTCGAGGGATGGACTGAGTATCTTTGAATGGGTCTATAAGATCGTCAAGGGAAGAAGAGCACAAGTAGAAACTGGGCTAAATTGGTTAAATACGGAGTACTACTAAGGCAGTGGGGATCTCCCCTAAGAGAAGTTACGTTGGAACGATTTAGTCTCCACTTTGAGGTCGTTATGGTGCCTTCAATACGAGGCACCAATGACTCATGAAGCGTTGTCCTCAGTCGGCGTCCCGATTTGGCAGTAATGCTGGATGACGGGATAGCCACGGGCTGAGTGCTCATGAAATACTTTGGCACCAGATCTTGGAAAAGCTAACTCATTAGGGTAGTAATTTAATGGTCCACGTGGTACTACTAGTAACTGTCCCAGGGTAGGGCGATGCAACCCCAATTTAATGCTGGACACTACTAGTAATGCATCATTTGGCTAACACCATCCTAAGAAGCTGATTGCATAAGGGAATAAGGATGATATTTTTTTTCCCTTCTCCCCCCTTTCCCCCTTAGTCTTGGGTGAGATTGTAAGAAAGGGACTCTAAAGACTCGCTTTTTGTACAGTATGACTCCAATTCAGAGGCGAAGAGTCCAAGGACCAAATTGTCAACTTTGCTCTTCCTCTGGAGTCAAATTGTATCCCGTAATTGTACATATCGTTTATTGTGTTAAATATCGCTCAAGCGCAGTAGGTCTGTAGTCCTATCTTCAGCAGTGAAGATGTCCGGGAGAGGTTCAGCAGCCAATTTCTTCATATCGGTCCGAATTATAACATGGCCACATGATAGGTTCAACAAGGCTTTCGCTACAGTATCCCGCCTCTAGCAGAAGAGCGGATTAAAGCCACGAATTTATTGACAACTATTCATCGTGCTCAGGAGATGCGTTAAAGTCGGATGTGTTAGGGTCATTCAGGAAATCAGAAAAGAAATCGTCGGTGTCCTCAGTCGCTTCCAAGTACGGACTTGAAAGCATATATGCCTGATTCGAAGTTAGTGTTGACCAGGTTTTGAGATATTTGACCTTTATCTTAGACCACACACCTCGACGCCTCTCAACATGTTGCGACGTTCAATGTCAGCAATATCACGAATCGTATCAGCTACTTCGGTATTGTTCAGAAACATGGCAACATGAACAAACATATCCTCGAAAGGAGAGATAGAAAGGCCTGGGCCATATTTGACCAGAGCATTGACGACAAAGGTCGTTCCAATATAGCACGCCATGAGGAAAACACCACGGAACAATACCTCGTCCTGAAGCTGGTCATTAAGACCCATTTCCAGCAAAGCTTGTACAACAGTCGATCTGCCCTGACGGATAGCGTACATGAGCTCTAGCATTCCGGTCTCTCGGATGTTCACAGGTGCCAAGAGACGTTTAACAACGCTCACTCGGTTCAGCAAGTCAGCTACGTCAAGCGCAGAATACCCAGCGTGGCTAATGGCATCGCGATTTGCTCCCATCGCAAGCAATTCAGTGACCCGCTCAGAATCATTCAGTAAGCATGCAATGTGTAGCTCGCGCGTAATATTGAAGGATGTCCGTGCTGGGCGATGTGGATAGGAGTACGTAGGCTCTGCAGTAGTGTCATTCATTCTATTCACGGTTTTCTCAGTCACTGCGCCTAGGCCATCCTGTTAGTTTGAGTGTCTTTCGTCTGATAGCACTGTGCGTTATATATGGCTCTCACCATGGGGCAGCATTAGAGGATGCAAGCTAAACGTACCCTCTGCTCCCAAGTTTTGTTGCAGTTCTGGGATTGAAGGCCCAAGGCTGGCGTCGTGCACCAGAGTTCTGGAGATTAGTTTGGGCTTGATGTTTTGTATATCCCCTCTAAACTAATCATCTCTGGGGCCAACCTTATAAGAAGTTAAATAGGGACACTCTCTCAGACACGTACCCCGAATGTGTCTATTCAATGTTAGAATAAATAGATGAAGAGAGTCGCACGTTATCAGTGATGTATATGCAGAATGTTGTCAGCGGTGGAGGACCAGGAGGCTGCCATATCAGGGAGAGATCAAAAAGTATTTCAAGGTGCAATCAGAGGCCGGTAAGGTAATCAACTGATTCTTGTGGTTGTCGTTACTGATGCCTCACTTTTATTCACTCATTCGCTGGTGCCCGTCTCCCCTTTCTCTTCAGTTACACCTTGTGTTGAGAAGAGTAGCTTACTATACAACTGTCAACTGGCACGGAGGAGTTTGTTTGAAAGCACTTCTGTCTTTATAGCAGTGCTAAGCATGCTGATAAAGTAGACTAAGGCATACACTAGGTAATATGAGCCCGATCCTAAGCAGGGAGAATAAAATATCGAAACTCGGCAGGTATTACTGGGCTAGACACGTGCCGTTTCTATATTCTCTATTGATCTAAAGAGAATTAGGTGTCATATGTGCAGATACTGTAGTGCACGCCTGAGCTATGCAGAGTAGGATAGGTTATACTGTGGTGTACGCTCACAGCTGAATATAGGCTTTAAACACCATATGGTAGAACATCTCTGCACGTATCGACCTTGGATGGTGTTTCTCAGCTGGGGAATAATTGTATAGATCGCGGCCATAGCAACTACGGTTAGGGATGACGAGCACCAGATATCCGTTATGGCGAGGAGATCAGGGTCGGAACAAAATCTGGTTTCTTTGGCTCTGTTAGGTATCTGAAGAGCTGAGCTTACAAGGCTATACATTGTGGTGTAATAGGGAAAGCAGAATATGAATGATTTACATAGAGTTATATATATTATTCATATACTCAACCACTACTAGTATTCTAGTAATGGCTACGAGTGACAAGAGCTGGAAGCTTACGCTGCAGTTGGGTCGGCTTAAGAATGATTCGAGTTTGAAATTGAAATGCTTAATTTGGCAAATTGAGTAAACAGGAACTGAAGAGGGGGGGTTATGAACCAAAAGGAGAAAGAAAGAGACTAAAAGCCGGCAAAAACAAAGGTATATTTATATTTATATATATATTTATATTTATGGTTCCCCTCTTCCTTCTCTTGGACCCCCTCCTCTCTTGTCTCGGCGATCAACCCCCCTTCCCCAATGCCCACACCACTTCCTAACCCCCCAACAACGTCAAGAGTCTCAGCTTGTCCCAGCCCATAAGACTGTCTAGGGTTCATTCAAGTTTAAAGTTATTTCACGCATCCTTTCAATACGGGCTCCAGCTGGGCTTGCCTGGTAGCTCCGAACTTGGGATACTCAAGTTCCATTTGGAGCTGCAGGCCGAGAATTTGCATTCTTACTTTTAGTTCCACCGACTCACGAAGCTTGACACCGCTGCCAAGAATATTTTATTCGCACTTCGCTCCTCCATCTGGACCAACACCCAGACCCCTATTCCGAAAAACTTCCCTTCCAACTCCCGCTAGCGGGCGCAACGTGATGACGGACACCACTCCCTCTCCTCCTCCCGGCCCTGCTACAAAACCATCTCCGAGCGTACAGTCGACTCCGAAATCTACAGCTGGTACCAAGCGCAAACGGGGATCCGCAGGGAAATATTACGCGGTCAAGGCGGGATATCAGCCTGGGGTCTACTATGCATGGAATGACTGCTTGACCCAGGTAACCGGGTACAAAGGTGCAGTGTGTAAGGGTCTCCATAGCGCATTGATATGATATGCGGGTCCCCGACTAACGGAGGCTTCAGTTCAAGCATTTCCGACTCTAGAAGAGGCGAACGCATTCCTTACAGGCTCAAAACTTCCGACGGCACCGGGTGCCACTACTTCCGGTACAGAACCTACTCGATTTTACGGCATCCAGCGTGGACGAGTACCCGGTGTTTATACCGATTGGGCAAAAGCTCAGGAACAGATCAAGGGATTTGCACGACCGCGCTATAAGAAGTTTTCGACAAAGGAGGAGGCCGAAGCCTTCGTGAAACTGGGTCAATCTAATGGTGCTTCGTTTGCTGGGAACTCTTCAGAAATACAGAAGCTCCCTGGAGCGCCCGGCATATTGAGTGACATACCGAAGGACGAGCAAGGCTCTCCTATAGAGCCAGGCGATGGGCCATTGCCTCCCGGGGCAGAGGATGGGTTCGACCCAAACGTGCTTTTGGACCCAAAAACAGGAAAGGTGGTCTATAAAACGAAGGAGCAGAAAAGTGCAACAAAGACGAAGGCAACTGGTCCTCCTGGGATGTTGCGAATTTATACCGATGGTAGCTCGCTGAACAATGGCAGAGCGCTTGCGTCGGCGGGAGTTGGCGTTTATTTCGGACCCGGGGACAACAGGTTTGTTACTCTTTCTTCGCCACCATGTCCATTGGTTGTCACCTTACTAACACTGCTTTTTCCCAGCAGAAATGTCTCGGAGCCCCTTAAAGGTAGCCGTCAGACGAATCAGCGTGCAGAGCTGACAGCCATCCTTCGAGCCCTTGACATAGCTCCACGTCATCGAGATGTGACGATCTTCACAGATAGCCAGTATGCGATAAAATGTGTGACGGTGTGGTATGTCAAATGGCAGCGCAATAAATGGCTTACGTCGGAGAACAAACCGGTTGAGAACAAGGACTTAGTTGAATCAATTCGTGTCAAAATCGAGGAGCGGGATGAGCTTAAAGTTAAGACACTATTCGAGTGGGTTAAGGGGCACAATTCTGACCCGGGAAATGAGGCAGCTGACCGTCTGGCTGTTAATGGAGCGCAACGGGGGGTATCTGAAAAGGCAGCAGCTCTGGAAGCGATCCAGGATATCCCCGATGAAGTATTTGATGATGATATCTAACCCCAAGGTGTCAAGCCGAGTCTTGTCATTTCACTTTGTTTCTTGCCCTATGCTTCGCCACCTTGTTTCTCATCACTCTTCTGTTTCTCATACGATGATGACGATTATGCTTTGTTGACTGTCCTTAAGGAGTCGGGGCTTTGTTTATCCTGTGTCTTGTCTTATGAAAGTGGTCTGGAAACCGAGACGCCACCATGATGATATCCTGAGATGGAAATACATAATCAAATACAATGAAAGGATAAAAAAATAGAAAAATATTCAATCCCATGGGTCTCACGTACGACTACTAGTAGAACTTAATAGAATCTAATGCTTGACTGCAAATCCCTGCCTGATCTAATTCCCGTTAGGGGAAAGTTGAGCAAGTCACAAGAACAAGCCCCGGCAGTGATTTAATCGTCCTCAGATCTTTTTTTTTTATCTATTTCTTCCGTCTTTCGATTTTTGTTCCCCACATCTCTGATCCCCCACGTTAAAAATACTTAGTGCTGGCCTTCGGCTTTAGATCACTCTACTGTGCACCTAGCTTTTCCAACTAGAGAGAACGCTGTTTTGCTACGTGTGGTTCTCAGTGAGACGGTCAAGTTGTCGGCCGCACCCACCCAGCTTTCCTTCCTGAAGTCCCCGAGTGGAGGCGTTCGGACGTCTCAGATGACAGTGATCTCTACAGTCAGGCAGATCTATGCTATGGTTGAATAACACAGGCTTGCAAATATATCAATCCAGGACAGCGCTCTTTATCTCTGCGCATCAAACCAGGGATTTTCCATCACTTGATCTGTGGCTCTGACAAACACTGCAGAGCAGTTCAAGGTACATACTTACCTGGTAAAAGCACCTACGGATTTGCCATTCCGGTGTCGTGAAGCTGCAATCCCGACAACCGGTGACCAGGGACATCATGCCGACCCTTTCGTTGATCAATTTCAACATTGTCTGCGCTACGTTGGGTGGGTTTATCTCGGTATTTGGCTTAGTGTCCTACTTGTTTAAGGAGAGATTTTACCTGTCTGAAGCATGTTCGTTAAGCACACCCTGTATAGGTTACTGTCAACACCACTGACAATGATAGTAATCTCATTATTGGCCGGGGTTCTCTTCTCTCCACATGCAGCCAATTTCATAAGACCTAAGGAATATGCGCTCGGCTCAGAACAAAATCTGGAGGAGATTACAATGTACTTCACCAGGTTAGTTCTTGGGGTTCAGTTGGTACTTGCCGGGGTCCAACTTCCGAAACGCTACCTGCAACTAGAATGGAAGAGCCTCTCATTGCTGCTGGGTCCCGGCATGGCGGCCATGTGGCTATGTAGTAGCCTTGTCATTTGGGCCATGATCCCTAACTTTCAGTTTCTACATGCTCTCATAATTGGCGCATGTGTAACTCCGACTGACCCAGTACTTTCCAATTCGATCGTAAAAGGTAAGTTTGCGGACAAGAATGTTCCTCGGCCACTCCAAAGGATCATTGTTGCTGAATCAGGCGCCAATGATGGCCTCGGATATCCTTTTCTATTTTTTGCTATGTATCTGCTCAAATACACGGGTATGGGAGGTGCAGGGTATAGCGGAGGCGCGGGGAAAGCCATGGCCCTGTGGTTCTACGAGACCTGGGCTTACACAGTGATATTAAGCGTTGTATATGGCATCACTGTCGGCTGGGTCTCCAGAGAATTGCTTCACTGGGCTGAAGAGAAGCGTTATGTCGACCGCGAGAGTTTTCTCGTCTTTGCTATTGCCCTTGCAGTATGTCTACCACCCTAGAAGCCCCCAGCAATCACTGACGCAGCGTTGACTATAGCTTTTTATTGTGGGTACCTGTGGCATGATTGGAACAGACGACCTCCTGGCCTGCTTTGTAGCAGGTAACGTTTTTACTCAGGAGTAAAGGGCCTCCCTCTTTCTGCTTTGGTTCAACATAATCTGATTTCGATAGTGATTGGTTCCGTCTCGAAACGATGGACGATTCGCTACAACCAACCATTGATATGCTTTTGAACTTGGCAATCTTTATGTGGTTCGGTGCTGTCTGCCCATGGTCCTCCTTCCTGAACAACAATATTATTCCAATATATCGCTTGATATTCTTGGGGGTCTTGATCCTGCTCGTTCGCCGGATGCCAATCATCTTCGCAATGCACAAGTATATCGGCCAAATCGAGCACCTTCTTCAAGCAGCCTTTGTTGGCTTTTTCGGTCCCATCGGCGTCGGAGCCATTTTCTATCTATCGGTCTGCCGAGAATTTCTACAGGGTATCATCGTTGATGGCAAAGTCCGGGATGATGCACAGAAGGTTTCTGAGGCTGTTGATGTTGTCGTCTGGTTCTTAGTCATCTGCAGCATTGTAACCAAACCACACCTTACCCCCTAATCCCCAATTGAGTCTTGTTTCTAACAGATACGCAGGTTGTGCATGGTCTTTCTATACCGTTGGTGAAAGCGGGATATCATCTGCCGCGGACCATTTCCAACGCACTGAGTGTTGGTTCCACGCCCGAAGCAGAGCCGGTGCCGATCGCAAACGTACAGCATACCCACAGCACTGCAACACAAGACAACAACCGAGGGCGTAAACGGCCCGGCGCACCTCGGTCTACGACTTTGCAGATAGGCCGGTCCGTCATAAGACCGCAATCGACGGACCAGCGGCAACTAGGTACAAACCATGAAGGAGAACCCGAAAGACCTGTAAACTTGGTAGTGCAGGAACCTGACAATGAGCCTACCTCAGGCAGCAATACACTGGGAGCTACGGAGTAGTAGTCGTTGATGCAACTAGTGCCAGTGAGTGTGGTGGTCGCGGAAACTGATCGGCCAATACATTCAACATGGGCCGGGCCGTTCCTGTTATCGCACACTCCTTGGACAAGAAGTTTAATATGATGCCTTTCACAATTCTTGTATATTCTGAAGATCATAGAGGACATAGTATAGTGAACATTTTGTTCTCCACGTCTTATACAGTGACTGTGATCCTTGCTACATTTGTGCCTGCACGACTGCTACTTGGCGACAAGACTCTCTACAGTTACCCAGGGACGAATAGGCTAGGAAATCGTTGTAACTTGAGTATGCGAATGATTTAGAACAGTCCGAGAAACTCTTGTTCATCTCTTCATTTGAAGATCACTACACGATTATAATGGATCACATGTATAAAAGATATTTAATATTCCCTAGGGAAACGCTTTTAGGTCTTCGTAAAACTCCATCTTATCCCTTATTTTTGTTTCACTACACCGCCATGCTATCCTGCACTTCACCGCTAGCATGGACCCACCATACCTCGTCATCAAAGAACAGAAGGAATGATAGCAAAAAGGTAGAAATAGATAGATCGGAGGGAAAGTAGGAAGAATAAAAAGAAGCAATATGGACATCATTTCACAAGGTTGGTCCATTCTAGTATGATCCCGTTTCGTTGCAGCTTCGTCCGAATTCCCCGTCTCCGGACGCAGCAACCGACCAAGCCAAAATCACGTCAGACAACCACCCACCCGCTGGATCGACTTGTCTATTGCAAAGGAAATTCATGCAGTCGTTATAATCCCACCCCACGCCCACATCAAAAACCCACGTGCATTCGAGAAGCAAACCAAGGGCTATGCGAGGAAATTGGGTATATATCAGCGCAACATTCCACCAGATACACCACCGCAATTACAGACTCAAGCAGAACAAGGGAGACGAATCAGTAGATAAGAATATCATCACATAAAGAATTGGAAGGAGATGCAAGAGGAGGTGGAGGGTGTTCAGCTTAAGTTGCAAAACACTCGGTAGCAAGAAAGATAAAAAAAATGAAACAAATTAAGCAATCAGTTGAGAAGGTGCAAAGATGATGCGAAATATCAAAGAAGACAGGCCTTAGCTCCTTTGGTGATCGGCCATCTTTGCAAGCGCGTGTGGATTCGGGCAGGTAGTCGGCCGCTGAGGTTGCTATAACAAACAACCAATACAATATGTCAATTGAAATAAAACTGACAGATAATAATTCAATATCAGGGGAATACCATAAGGCATAGTTGGTATAATCAAATGGAGAATGATCTGCTACAGCAGACAATAAGGTAGGAGCGATGTATGTAAGTTGAGAATTCCTTGAGTAGCTTTTTGCCTTTATCCTTTGGCAAGAAACTGTCGGCATTGCCCCTGTTTCCTCCTCTTTAAATCATGCAATGCGTTCGTAAAACAGCAGGTAAGCAACCTTATTGTCCTTGGACCCGTATCGTCCAATTGGAGTCCGAGTCCCGGAAGGTGCTTTAGATGTCGCTGGAGCTCCGTTGGTAACGGCTGAAGTGGACTTTTTGCTTGAATGATTACTGGAGCCTGTTCCATTGACCTGGCTCCAACCTCTCTCATTATCAGACTGATCCAGATCATCAATTTGCTCATAGATATTCGTGTTAGCGTCGCGCTTATGCTGTTCAAGAGCTGCCGCAAGCACCTTGGGATCTTCTTCGCCACCGGCTTCCGCGACATCCTCGCTTCTGATACGGCGAATGACAGTGTCATCAAGACGAATCCATTCACGGCCATCCTGGCGACGGACATCGACAGTATAATGGCCACCACTTGCGTTCTTGCCGTGGTGGTAGATGACGCCAATGAGTCTGTACTTGGGCAATCCACCCTGGGCAATCATGATATTGCGCCTGTTAGGAGGTAACACTTCGCGAGGGATCTCCAAGTCAAGGGGATATCCAATTTTCTTCCAGATTTTCTGGGTCCCTCTGGTAACGCTGTCATAGTGGAAGCGTTTGAGGTGAAGAATAAGAACAGGCGGTAGGTTTTCAATGAAGATTTGTTTCGTCGCGGTGACATTCGGACCGCGCGATGAGTTGAAGTCTCCTTGAATACTCTCTGGTTTTGTCAGCCCCTTGAGAGCATCGACAATGTTATTGATCTCGGGAGAGCCAATATCCAACTGTAAGGGTTGGTAAGGCTCCAAGGTAACAGAGGTCTTGTTCCCCGGTACTTTGAACTCAGACCGGATTTTACCACCGAATATCCTCATGATAGGTGATTCGTAAGAAGTGTGACCAGAGGATCTTGTAACCGCAGGCTTCTGCTTGTGACCAACCTCCAGCCACCCATCACCAGACTCGTCATCAGCTGCAGATGGCTCTTCGCTCAGAGATGCTGCACCATCGGTTTTCGTCAATGGCGCATCCTTTGCGGCACGAGCACATTCCTCGTGCATTTCCTCCAAAAGGAAACCCAAGAACTCTTGAGCATCTTGTTGGTGTCCTCGCTATATATTAGAAGATTAGTCTACTGCGCATATATTAACCGAAAGAAGGAAAAACGTACGCGCATGTCTCGAAAGCGTGGCAGCTGCCGAATCACCTGGTAAACGAATTCTGGGGTAAAAGCATCGCCGTATTGCTCAAGTTCATTGGGTTTCAACCTTAACCTCAACTGTTCTTCAGAATGAGCAGCATCAATAACGCGAAACTCTTTCATAAACATAATCCTATTAAATGAAAAGTTAGTATCGATCCTCAAGCAAACAGTATCGTGATACTGACAAAGCATCGATCATTGGAAAATCACTCTGGAAACTATGTGATGCTCGCCGGCCAATATGATCCAAGAACTGATAAAAAGGTACACAAGAAACCAAAATTTGAAGAACCTATTGTGTCCAAAAAGTCAGTGAGGAATCAAACGTTTGTAGTGATTGTCACAACATACAGAGTTCATATAGCACATATTCCCGGTATTCACAAGTCCCCTGGGCTCAAGAAAAGCAGTCTTGTCGCTATACTGGGAGACATCATCCCCCATGTTCACTAATACATCTGCAAGGGATTCACTCTTCTGTTTTACCATGCCGTTCGATACAGTAGATGGAGCACCGGTGACGCCTGCACCTTTCGATTGGTTCTTGGCTCGAACCAGATCTGCCCAGGACTTTGGTGCCGCACGAGCGGGGGAAGGTGGTCTCGGTGAACCTTCCGAAGTAGGACCCTCTATCTGTTCCATTGGGCGCTCGGTAGAACTGTTTTCAGCAGTTCCACTTGCGACATTGGCAATTGCTCCGGACGACTTCCGTATTTCGGACGAGCGGCTAGCATCATCTTTCGTCCCTTGTCGTGGAGCACCAGGACCCGGGACAACAGGGACAACAGGAACTACAGGAACAGTTGGCTTTGATCCTTTGGATTGCGACTGGGGCCGGACAGAAGGTTGAACAGCTGAAGACGGGGTGGTGGGCTGTGTGGAATTCGCGACCGACGGTGCAACAGACAGTGTTGGTGTTTGAGGCTCGGAGGGACTCTGAGTATGCGGCTCTACGCCCTTTGTCACACCTTGTGTTTCATCATGGCCATCCTGCTGGGTGTCCTTCGCCGGCAATTCAACTGAAACAGAAGACTGAAGAACTCGGCTTTTTCGACGTCGGTGGGGGACTCTGGCGGGGAACGGACGGTCTGGAACAGAGAGCCAAGGGAGCTAGAATGTTGGTCAGAAATCGAATGATATGCTATGGAAGGCGCCTCAGAAAGCTTACCGGCGCACGGAAAGGCTTGACGGGGGTTGAGACCCTGGGAGCCTTCTCGGGAGCTGAAGTGGAAGGCGAAGACATAATAGGGCTAGTTGTGGGGTGGATCGGAAGCATGGCAGGAGATTGCATCGGCATATTTATCGGAGCAGGCGCTGGCCCAACAGGAGGAGACATGGTGGACTGGAGGGGAGTTGAAGTCCTGGCATGCATGGGAAGCGATGGGGGTGGGACAGGAGCCGGAGCCATAGCAGGTTGAGGAGGGTAGGTGGAAACATACATCGGTGCATATGGCGGCTGAAATGGGCGTGGATGCGGCTGCATTTGAGGGTAGGGAGGGTACCAGTGGGGATATTGCTGTGTATAGGCGGGGGGGAGATGGCCGTTCATGTGAGGAGGATATCCCATGTACGCGGGAGGAGAGCGCATATTGGGGGGGCCTGTAGAGTAAGGAATGTCTTGCTGCCGCCGGGGAGTAGGCATGGGTGGCTGCCCATGGGGCATCGCGGGCAGATGAGGGTTCATCATGTCTAGGCACGTCGGGAAGTCGCCTGGACTATTCAGCCACGCGTTGCCTCGATGGGAGCCATACGATGTAAAACGGGGGAACCAGGGTGATGGGCTTTTTGCACCCGTCTATGCGGCCATCCTATCTTCCAGGCCGGTGACCGTGAGTTAGGATTCAGAATAGTCGGCTAAAGCTTGGCGCTGGTGGTCCTGTGGAAGCCTGAAGGGCTCATTAGACGGGAGATGCGCGATTGACTAAAAGAGAGGAGAGTGAGAGACACCAACCTGATGCAGGACACTTCGTAACAATCGAATTATAATTGAATATACCTCAGACAAAAACCCGAGGAACCAGCAACAGGGGTGGATGGGAGGCGAACTAGACTCGCGGCAAGCAGAACAACGGGGAAGGGTGCGTTGGAGCTGAGATGAGATGATGTTTTTTTTGGGCGGGCGGCACGTGCCTGAGGCTCCATTTACTTGCCGCCAAGAAAATGACATACATCGCCCCTCCTCGAGATTGGCGCTCATTTCCCTCTCTCGTTCTTCAGGAGAAGGATCAGGAACCCTGGTGCTTCTCCTCGCCTGGTGCTGCCCCTCGGGGTTTTCACTGTGATGATTGTACCTAGCTTTATCTTGCGTTATTTTGTATCCTGACGTCGTGAGTCTGCTGCGTCGACGGAAAGACTCAATTCCGCCGCGCTATCCCTCCAATCACTGTTTCCACTCTTCTCCTACTGTAGGAGAAGGATACTATCTTATCGGATCGGAGTGGAAGGAAGAAATGTCGTCCAATCCTAGCCAGAACTCAACCCCTTCGAAAGCAATCAACATCGCAAATCAGTGCGGATCTACGACATACCACTCCACTTCCTCGATTGATATCAGTTCTCAACGACGCGCGGGAGGCTCTGGTAGTTTCGGAGCAGGCTTAACATCGAGGAATACAAACACTCCGAGAAATAACCAGTCCCGAAAAAGCCAACACAAGCGACAAAGGCGCCCTGGGTTACTGGATGATGAAGAGTACAGCGAGTCTGTAGGTTATCCCTAAGTCATGTCCACAGCTTCCACCGTTGGCCCAAGCGATTTAACCAGCATGATAATGTACAGGCCATCATGAGATCGACAAACAGCCGAAAGGGACAAACGTCCATCACTCATCTGATGAATTTCTCCCTCCCCCCTCGTCCTCAGTATCAGCCCCCGCCACGGAATATTCGTCGATATGCGTCATGGGGTTTGGGGTCCGGACACCATGCCATGGACAAAGCTCGTTACGTCCATGCGAATTACCGGTTTATCGTGACATCAAATCGAGCCTACCATGCACAAGCAGCCAATGCTGACGTCCACCTAGACTGGGAATCTGTACTTCAGGTTTTGGTTTCGGCTCAGACTCAGTCCGCCAGCTGTCCAATCTGCTTATCTACTCCAGTAGCGCCTCGAATGGCTCGTTGCGGTCATATATTTTGCCTTCCCTGCCTTATCAGATATATGCACTCATCCGATGAAGACAGTCTGCTGCCTGAGAAGAAGCCACGATGGAAAAAATGCCCTATCTGTTGGGACACGATATATATAATAGAAACACGCCCCGTACGATGGTTTCGTGGTCAAGAGGGTGACCTGCCTTTTGAGGGTGGTGACGTTGTTTTGAGGCTCGTGAAAAGAGAACCAAGGAGCACTTTGGCACTGCCCCGTGATGGTGCTGAAAGTATTGGACCGGATGAGGATATCCCATGGTACCATGCCGCTGAGGTTGCTGATTATGCTCGTATTATGAAAGCAGGCGAAGACTACATGGTCGGCCAATATGACAGTGAAATAGAGGACCTCCGCCGCCAAGAAGCAGAAGATGAGGTCCTGTTTGGTGACGAGACAACATGGACCCAAAAAGCGATTGCAGCCATCAATGACGCTAAAACAAAGGTGAAGGGAATTGGTAACCCGCCAGACATCTCGCAGCAGCCTACAGCGATCAACATACCAAAAGGTCCGATTCTTGATCAGTCACAGCACGGTCTTAAATCTGGACAGGTTCTCTCTGTTCTCTCTGCTGAGGCGGTACAACCAGACACCGGCTCAGATGTGGCAACTTCCATGCCAGGCCTACATAGTGAAACGGATCGTGTGACAGAGGCGTTAAATCGCGTTAACATTGACGCTGTACCTGTGGCGAAAGCCAAACAGAGAGATCCTGGCACAAGCCGGGTCTCAGTGTCGTCTGAGCAGACCCGGGTAACAAATGGTCCTCATCCATCAGATCACCCATTCTACTTTTATCAAGCGCTACCCCATTTTTACCTCTCGCCTCTTGACATCCGTATTTTAAAGACTGCATTTGGCGATTATTCATCATTCCCCGCGACTATCCTTCCTCGCGTTGAACACATATCTACTGGTCATATTGTGGACGATGAGCTCAGAAAGCGGGTTAAATATCTCGGTCATCTCCCACAAGGGTGTGAAGTAAGTTTTCTCGAATGTGACTGGCGGGATGTGGTTGGGCCAGAGATATTAGAGCGCTTTGCTGCTGAAACAGCGAGGAGAAGAAAGAGAAATAGGGAGAAAGAGGCTCGCGAAGAAAAAGATCGGGTTCGGGCTGAGAAGGAGGATGAGAAACATTGGGCTGCAGCTCGTCGTAATAGGAGGTCAAGCATTGGTGTTACTGATCCTCTGTTCTTTGATCATGATTTTCAACCGTTAACGAGCGGTGCTTCAGGCTCTGGCCCCTCAAATTTTTGTTCTTCTACATCGCCTCCCGAATTCTCACATCCTGGTGCTGCCAATTCGTCATCAAGCAGTCCTCCAGGCGCTCGCACCGTATGGGGCACAGCCGCCGTCCCAATGCTCGCCCAGCAACCAGATTTACCTCTAGGGGCTGCGTCTCAGGATGGTTGGCTTGAGGGGTGGGAGGAGGAGTTATTGGCCCAACAAGAGCACGAATTCCTGGCTCAAGCCGCTACAAATGAAAACACCCCTTCCTCTTCCAGTGGCGGAAGGAAGAAAAAGAACAAAAAGATCACACTCATGTCGACTAACATCCAGAGAGGCGCCTGAAAGGGGAAACTAATGGCTGGCTCTTCCATCTTGTATTTCATGCCGTTTATCCCTTCTTCACATCCTCTCCTTCTTCCTGCCCATTCACACTTTCGCCTGTTGTTTTAGGTTTTGGACGTGTTATGTTTTGTCTACAGGACTGTTGCCAGGAAGCAATAAATAGGTGTCTAATGGTCGGTTTTATATGTGAAAGGTATACATATCGATTATTGAACTAGAATCCTTGATATTTTTTTTATCATTGCTTATGTTTTCTCTTATTCTTTTTCGCCTTTTTTTTTTTTTTTGTATATAGCGCGGACAACTTATAGAAAGACATCGTTTAGTGTGGTATCATTTTTCTTGACAGAACTCATCTATCACCTTAAAAACTCGGTAGTACATACCCAGGCTTAAACTCGACTCGATTGTGCACTTTTTGGGCCCTTCTTCGTATGGTAATTTATCCAGATATCCGTCCGTTCATGGCTCTTCCCCTGTTTTGAAGTTGGGACATCGGCACTGAAGAATAAGCGCGATGCACATACTGTTACTAGGTATTGAACCAAAGTCTTGGTGGAAGTAGTGTCGAGGGGTACTTGGTAGTTTTTAGTACCGGCTAGTGGTAGCGTTCCATAGTCTAGCTTAGGAGGCACCCGTATGGGGACGCTATAAGGACGATGAATGGCCGAAAACCTTACCCGACAAGGTAATTAAACTAAGTAATGGATTGTTGTTCAAAAACAATCTCCCCTTCTCCCTCCTTCTGTCTTTTTCCCACCATTTCTATAATTTGACCCAATTCCTCTTTCACAACAACTCGAAATTACCGTATATCATTCTAGCCATCATATGGTCACAATACCATGACCGTCACCCGCTCTCAGACGGGGAAAACCCCCAAGTAAGTAACATTTTTGTTGTGGAAAAGGGATGGGAAACAACAAAATAAATAAGAGGGCTTGCCACACTTTTTGCTTTTCGCCGTGCGTTTCTATGTTTTCAGTATTTTCAAAAATGCGCGCGCATAAAGATGAACAGGTTTATTGATCAATTGGCTTCATTACCAGGAAAATGGAGCGTCCCGGTTTCATCGAGACCCCAGGTCGTCGGGTTACTCGCAGCAGTGCTGTGGCCTCAGAGACAAACACAGATGACACATCCGACTCCGCGGTCGACATGATGAGAGGGCCTAAATCTGCGACTCGTAGACGCACCTCCGGAAAGACCAATGCTGAGGACATCTCGGAGGAGGAACCCAAAACAGCTGCGACAAATGGACATGCCATCTCGACCGAGAAGAAACCTCGAATCGTCGACGGTTGGGAAGAGGGCAAGGATCCCAAAGTTGATTATAGTGGACACTTTGAGTTTGGTGGCTCCTGGGGTGTATTATCTATGATGATCGGGTTTCCAATGCTGATGTACTACATGTGGATTGGTGCCGTTTATTACGATGGCAAGTTCCCTCGCGCCTCGGAAGGACAGAGCACGTTGGCTTTCATCACGCACCTGGCCAACTTGGTCTACGTGGGTGCTTTTCCTTCCGTCAAGGCCTGGGCCATCTATTGGGCGTTTTTCCTCTTCGAGGGTGCTTGTTACTTGCTCTTACCAGGCATCACTGTCATGGGTCGCCCTCTGCCGCACCTCGGAGGAAAGCAACTGCCATATTTTTGCTCTGCCGTATGGTCTTTTTACACGAGTATCTTGCTGGCTTTGACACTTCACTTTACCGGTGTTTTCAAACTGTATACTATCATCGACGAGTTTGGTCCTCTAATGAGTGTCGCCATCCTCTCGGGATTTCTTGTGTCTTTCGTTGCATACTTCTCGGCTTTGGCACGTGGAGCTCAACATCGCATGACTGGTTATCCCATATATGACTTCTTCATGGGGGCCGAACTCAATCCCCGGATGTTCGGAATTTTGGACTTCAAGATGTTCTTTGAAGTCCGCCTCCCTTGGTATATCCTCCTTTTTGTCACTATGGGTGCTGCAGCCCGGCAATACGAAGTATACGGCTACGTCTCTGGAGAGGTAGGGTTCCTTTTGATGGCGCATTTCCTGTACGCAAATGCCTGCTCCAAGGGCGAGGAGTGTATAGTGTCAACCTGGTAAGCCATGATTCTGTCAGCTGCGAAGGGAATTTAAGGCGGCTGACACTATGACAGGGATATGTACTATGAGAAATGGGGATTCATGCTGATTTTCTGGAATCTTGCTGGTGTACCTTTGAGCTACTGCCATTGCACGATCTATCTTGCCAGCCATGACCCGGCGACCTATCACTGGAATCGCTATTTCTTGACAATCCTCTATATCGCATATCTCTTTGTGTATTGGGTTTGGGATACTACCAACAGTCAGAAGAACCGTTACCGTCAACAGGAGCGTGGAACTATGGTCTTCCGGAATACGTTCCCACAGCTTCCATGGCAAACATTGGAAAACCCCAAGACCATCACGGCTGAAGATGGCTCCAAGATCTTGGTGGACGGTTGGTGTAAGTCAACTATACTACGAATGACGGATGACTTGAGCTGACACATGCGCAGACGGCAAAGCTCGTAAGATCCACTACACTTGCGATCTTTTCTTTGCATTGAACTGGGGTCTTATCACTGGCTTCAACAGCCCATTCCCTTGGTTCTACCCTGTTTTCTTTGCATGCATGATCTCTCACCGTGCTTTGCGAGATATCCAGCGCTGTCGCAACAAATACGGCGAAGCGTGGTTAGAGTATGAAAGACGAGTCCCTTATCTTTTCATTCCTGTAAGTACAACCTCGCTAGATCGCTGGCTATTGGAATATGCGGACTGATCTGTTATAAAGTACGTGTTTTGAGAAAACGGCCATATATGCAAGATGTCACTTAGCTGCCTTGTTAGCGGGCACGCTTTGAAACGCTGCACTTATAGGCAGTCCACCTGCCAGAGTGCTCGGAGTTCTTTGGGGACTGGATGAGTATGTTTCTTTATTGTGCACAAGCCGACCCTGCTGATAGTGCCATTCATGGTGATTGTCCAGAGCTTGGGCATCTACTTTGATCTCCCAGCAATGAGTTTTTGTCTTGATTCAGATTTTAATGTGTATCATTCGATGTAAATTATTTGTCTCTATTTTTTTGGGTGGG